ACTTGTGCCTCGAACCTAGATAACCTCTCCGAGCCGCAACCCCCCTCCCTCGACGCGCGGCGAAGGCGACGGGGTGCCGTATAAAGTCGAAATCCGAGGTCTCCTCGTCTCATTTCATGTTCGCCAAGTGTTAACGACGAGCGAAGTTCGAGTTCACGCCGCACGATAATAACAACGACGACAACGACGACGACGACTCGGGAGGTTATTCGGTGTGTTTTAAACAGCAGGTCACGTAGCCGACGTAGGCTGTAGAGAGAAGAAAAAACCAGCGACCAGACCAGCCGTATCTGGATTTTCGGCGCGGGTGAATTTAACCTCGGTACAAACTGTCAGCACACGGAGGAATGCAAAAAGACTGTCGAGATTGCCTGGGTATCCGGTACCGCATTAACTCCCTGGACCAGACCTGGAAGTGGTTGCATCAGACCATCGCCCTGCACGACTACCTGATCTCCAAAATCGCGAGCCAGACCGACGTCTCCAAGTGTTTCCCTCAGTAGAGAGGCCCACCCTCGTCGTCCGAGAACGATCGAACCGTTTTGATCCAAGGCTGATCTCACGCGGAAGTTTATTAGATCCAAGACTGAAACATATATATGTGTCATCTACACGTGTGATCTGACGTCACGCTGACGTTGAACCAGATCAGGTAGTCTGCAATCGAGCGCACGCCCAACGCAACCAAGAGATTTCCACTTTGCTCTCGTGCACGTGCCACGCACAATGTCCCTGTCCGCTAGACTGCTCGTCGCCGTCAGACGTAGCGTATCTCTCGATGGTGCCCGGCGGACCGCCAGGTACGCATCGACCTGCAGCACCACGCAGCACGATGGCGACGACACCATCAAGAAGTCAGTATTCATATCGCAATCCACTGATGTATTCGTCAACCTGGCGTTGGAGCACTGGCTGTATCGCAACTTTGACTTCTCCAAGCATCACGTTCTGCTCTTCTGGAGGAACGACCCCTGCGTGGTGTTCGGTCGCCACCAGAATCCCTGGCTCGAGTGCAACGTCCAGGCGGCTGAGAAGACAGGCGTCGCACTGGCGCGCCGAAACAGTGGCGGCGGTACCGTTTATCACGACAATGGCAATCTCAATCTGACATTCTTCACTGCGCGCGAGAGGTACAATCGGAGATACAATTTGAATATCATCACGAACGCCTTGCTTCGACACTGGGGCCTGAAGAGCGTCATCAACGAACGCGAAGATATTCTAGTCAATGGGGACTG